ATATATATATACTTAATGGTGATTTTTTGTTTATTTAAATGTTGAGATATTTTAGATTGAATGTTTTAGTTATGCTTTTATAAGTGATGCATATTAACATGTCATTTATATTGTTACTATTTTTTTTTTTTGTATTTTAGGGATAATGAGGGCTTGACTGTAGTAGACTATATGATTATTGTTGTGGCCTAGTTTTATGTATTATTTTAAATCATATGGTAAATTATGATTCATGTTGTTACTATATATAATTTTCTTTAACTGGTATCATACACTTTTCTGGTGTCCCATCTTTCTTTCTTATTATCAAGTAATGTCATTACAAGAACCTCACAACTTCCTTACGCATGTGGCACCAATGTTAGAAATGTATCCATCAAACCTATGTTATGTAGATCATTTAGATCAACACATATGTGTATATATGTTTGTATGTACACATATAAATATACATATATTTATGTATACATATACATACATAAATAAATACAAATGTAAGAAAATGGAGCAAAAAGCTGTAGCACATTTCCCTCCCTGCTTAGTGTTTGAATCCTTTAATTCAGTAATTGCTTCTTTTCTCGGTATTTTGGTTTTCCTCTGCTGGTTGGATCCTCTCTATTTCGGCTTTGATCTTGTTTTAGTTGGTCTAAAGTGTTTTTTTTCTTTTTTTTTCTTTTTTTTTATTTTTTTTTTATTGTCGTGGTTGGTTACTGTTCCATTGGTGAAGTTACTATTGCATTGGTTTGTTATTCGAGAAGGAACTTTTACATGTACCTGAAATGACTACTCCCACATTCGTAGAGGTGTTGAAGAGTCTTAAGGCATTTGCACTACATCTTTGATTTTTCCAAAGCATTTTCATGAAGCTTATGAGGTGGATACTGATGAGGGCTTTATTAAAAGAGCTAGTAGAAAAAGTGGCAATCCTGCACTTATTTTCAGTGAATCTTAAACCATTAAATTGATGGAATCTTTGAGATTTGCTTTGCTTGTGAAATTCATGTGTGGTCATTCTAAAAAGAATCTTATTAGAATTTTTTTAAAAAACCTCAAATGTTGTGAGATTGTCAAATAGGGGCCCTGGATGAAAGACACATTATTATTAAACTTAGGAGGGAAGAGGACTATGCTATATTGTTTTGTAGCAAATAATGGTACATTGAAAATGCTCAGATGAATTTTTTGAAGTGCACTCTTAATTTTGACTCAGCCATCGAACCACCAATCATTCCTATTTGAATCACATTTCTAGATTAAGATTACACTTCTTTAATCAATAAGTCCTTTACTCACGTGGTGCACTTTATTGGTAAGCCATTAAGGTTATGGTGGAGAGAGGTATTATTCTAACAATGCATGAGGAGGCCTAGATTTGTACACAAAATAATGTTTATTGGAAAAAGGCGAAAGTGAAGTGTGCACCCAAGTTTTACATTAAATATAGTCATTTTCTTCATAACACTTCCTGAATTGAAAGTTTACAAAGAGAATCACCGGAATGAAGACAATATGGAGCATATGGACAACCTTCATCATGGTATGGGGGACAAAAGATTGGAGCAACCACAATAAGGTAGTTTGATTAATGTTATCACCAATGAATTAGTTCTAGACAGTGGAATTGATTTTAATCCCAACTTATTACCTGATGATGTAGGTCTTTTACAGCAACAACATGAAAAAGAAGTTGGTTTTGAAGGATAATACAAATTGTCATAGCAAGGTGAAGAAATTCAAAGTGAACACACACAACTGTGGCTACTGGATGAGGATCTTTATGCAGTTAAAGAAACTTTGGAGAGGGGACGGAAAATTCAAAAATCTAAGAGAATGAAAGAAAAAAAGCCAATAGATAACTTAGTTATATGGACCAAAATATTATTTTGTAGTATGTTGGGAATTTCCTTAGTTGGTATTCTTGTAACTATTGGTGATGTGGCCCACCATGATCACTAAGGTGAGTAGATCTCTTAGCCATGGTTAACTTTCATATATGAAGTGTTAGAGGCATTGCCAAGAAAGTTGCCTCTAACATAGTGTTGAATCTGTGTAGACTTTGCGATGTTTTCTCTTTCTTGAACCAAAGATAGTTGTTGAAAGTAATCCTAAAACTATTAGTATGTTGGGTAGATATAATTATACATATAATTGCAATCTAAAGATCTGGGTTCTCTGGAAAAATGGATCGTAGGTACAATTGCTATGTGATAACCCACAATTCCTCCACTTAGAGATTAAGATGCCCCACTATGCTATGTAGATTTCTGTTATTTATGTTAGGTGTGCTAATATATGCAAGGATGCTATGTGATGTGATTTAAGCATCTAAATTCTTAAACTTTAATGTGCTATTTAGATTGTGTGCTCTCTTCTGAATAGCTTTCAAGCATAAAAAATATTTTGTTTTAATATTCCTTAAATTTGTCCAAGAACTAGTATAATCCATTCGAACATTGAAATCCATATCATGTGCATAGTTGCAATACAAGTTATATGCCTCATTTTCATTGTGAACAACTGTGAAAAAGAGTTTGTCTGTATGTGGTTCAAAATCTATATGAATTGCATCATTGCATTCAATTTCTTACATCAAGACCTGTGCTTTCGTTGAGTAAGACATGAAAGTAGTTAAAAGAAAATGAGATATAAACATGTACTTAAGAAATAAATATCCAAATAACATATCCTGCAATAAAATACGAAGTACATAATGCCCTTAACTATGAGATATGGACATGGTTTTACTGATGAAAGAATGATGTCAAATCATGTTGTATTCGAGACAAAATGCTCATAAAACTCTTACCTATGTTGTAATACATAGTACAACAAGGTTGTACTCGTGTAAAATGATGTAAATAATGTTGTGCTACAAACCAAACATTCTTAAGCCCTTACATATATTATAATATGTAGTACAACATGGTTGTACTCGTGAAAAAATAATGAAAAATCATGTTGTATTATAAACCAAATGTTCCCAAGCCCTTACATATACCATAATATGTAGTGCAACATGTTTGTAGTTGTAAAAAAATGATTTAAAATCATGTTGTATTTTAGACAAATTATTCATAATGCCCTTACTTTTATTATAATATATAGTACAACATAGTTGTATTAATGAATAAATGATGTCAAACCATGTTGTATTTAAGATGAAAAATTTATAAAGCTTTTACTAAAGAACCATGATGTCAAACCATGTAGTAAACAAGGTTGTAATATGATTGTCAATTCAAGTAGAATGATGTAAAAACCATGTTTTATTAAAAAAATGATCTATAATCATGTTTTACTAAAGAATAACTAACATAATAATGACATGATTCTTATACAACATGCATTAATAGTTTACAAAGGAATGCTCAAGGGAAGATGACCTCCAAATCTTTGAAGAGAGTATTGTGCTTGTCCTCCGTCTCCACGACGAGCTTCAATATTTTTCTTCTTTTTTTCTGTTCAGGCAACAAGATAATATTGATGCATAAATCTTAAAGCTCTCTTTTTCTTTTTCTTCATCTTTGGCGGCGTCCATAAATAAAATTGATATCTTATATCCTAAAATTGTTTTTTTACAAGAACTTTTACCTTGCAAATCTTATGGGTCGGGTTTCAGGCTTCACCACTATTTAGACGAGAAAATAATATTTAAAGCATTGTCATATAACAATGGAGTCGGAGCTAACTCTACGTAATATTTTCTCTTTAGGATGAGTCGTAGGCATCTCAAGGCAAGCCTACATGCCTACATTTCATAATTATTTTTATATTTTTGGAGAATTTGCATACACATCCCATAATTTTTATATATTCACGTTTCTTACACTAAACTTTGATTTTTATACTTTTATTATTCAAATGTTTCATATCAATAACATATAAGAAAATAATTATTATTAATTCTTAAAAGAGTGAAGTAAAATGTTAAAAATGTAAAAAGAAACTAAAACGACTTCCCCGACTCTCTCTTGGATTCCGCCCTCACTCTCAACATAAACTCTACCTCATCCATCGTCTTCTCCGGGGAACTTCACTCTCAATGGATCGAGGAAGCTCACAAACCATCGTCTGTCACCTGGCTCTCATTTTCCTTCCGTTTATCATTCACTGTCTTCCACGAGCTAATCTGAGTCCCATCGCCATCACAGACCACCATAACCCCAATGAAATCCAACTTCAAACCTACATTGTTCATGTACAAGAGCCAACAAGCATCTCCAAGCTCACAACGGAACGCTGTCATGAATGGCACAAATCCTTCCTGCCCAACGCCACCCTCGACTCCGGCGAACCCCGCATCATCCACTCATATCATCGCGCCATTACAGGGTTCGCCGCCAAACTCACCCCCCAAGAACTGGTCCTGATGCGATCTAGGGATGGCTTCATCCTTGCCCACTCAGAGAAACCCACCTTTCTATTTACGACCTACACCCCCGATTTCTTAGCCCTGAAGCACTGGGGTAGCCTCTGGCCAGAGTCCTCCCATGGCGAAGGAATCATCATCGGCGTAATCGACACGGGAATTCACCCCACTCATCCCTCATTCGATGGTAAAAGCATGCCTGACCATCCCATTAAGTGGCGAGGCCGCTGCGATCTTCCGCCGCCAGCCAACTGCAACAACAAGCTCATTGCAGCGACGGCTTTCAAGGGCCAGCTGAAGCCATCGCCAGTAGATAAAGGCGGGCACGGCTCTGTTACAGCCAGCATTTCAGCTGGAAACTTTGTGCACGGCGCTCAGGTTCTGGGCAATGCCAATGGCACCGCTTCTGGCACGGCACCAAGAGCTCACCTGGCCATCTACAAGGCCTACTACAACAACTATGGCGTCGAAGGCGACCTCCTGGCTGCCATTGAGCAGGCTATTAGTGATGGTGTCGACATCCTCTCCATGTCCATCGGCCAAGAACCCAAACCTTTATATGAAAGCAGCGTGGCAAAGGGTTCCTTTTCAGCTATAAGAAACAACATTTTCCCCTGTTGCGCCGTGGGAAACTTCGGACCTGTGCCGAGCATTTTGTCCAACGATGCGCCGTGGTGTCTGAGCGTCGGCGCAGCTACTGTCGACAGGAGAATTAGAGTTACTGTTAGGCTCGGCAACGGGATGGAAATGGATGGAGAATCTTCATACCAACCGGACACGTTCGATTCCAAACTGATGCTGCCTTTGGTGTTTCCAGGAGACAGGGGACCGCCTGAAGCACTCAACTGTCAAACTGGTTCTTTAAGAAGGTCAGTTGTTTCAGGGAAGATTGTACTTTGCGTGACTGATGAATATGAGAATCTTGAGAGGAGTAAGGCTGTGAAAACTGCAGGTGGAGCAGCCATGATTCTTATGAACAGGCTGCCTGATGGCTATACCACCAATGCCGATCCCCATAGTCTTCCGGCCTCCCATGTTAGTCATGCCGATGGGCAGAAGATCCAGGCTTATATCCGCACAACCCCGAATCCTACGGCAACGCTTATCTTCAAAGGAACTCAATTTGGGGCTCGCCCAACTCCAGCAGTTGCTTCATTCTCTTCCAGGGGTCCGAGCCTCAACAATGGTGGAATACTAAAACCCGATGTTGTGGCTCCCGGTGTAAACATCCTTGCTGCATGGCCAACTGAAGTAGGACCTAACAAGAAGGGCAATTCGTCTTCAACCTTCAACTTTGCAAGCGGGACCTCTATGGCCGCCCCTCATGTCTCAGGAATCGCTGCCATGCTGAAAAAGCTTAAGCCTGAATGGTCTCCTGCTGCAATCAAATCAGCAATCATGACAACTTCCTATGCTCGAGACAGGCATGGAAATGCCATCACGGATCAAAATGGTGGTGGCAATGCAAGCTTCTTTGCAATGGGGGCAGGCCATGTTAACCCATCAAAGGCCGCTGATCCTGGGCTTGTTTATGACCTGCAGTGGCAGGATTACATACCTTACCTTTGTGGTCTCGGATACACTAATGATCAAGTAATGGCTGTCATTAAAGACACTGCTGATTGTTCGAACATCAAGAAGATTATTGCTGAGGAGCTGAATTACCCATCGATTGCGTTGACTCTTAAAACAGGAGAGTCAAAAACGATTAGTCGCACGGTGACGAATGTTGGTGAAACAAGCTCGAAATACAGGTTAGAGATTGAAGAGCCTAATGGAGTTCACGTAAATGTGACACCCGAAAGCCTGCAATTCTCAGGACTGAAACAGATGGAGACCTTCTCGGTGAAATTAAGTGTAAAGTCTGGGCCTTCGAGGAAAGGACAGGTCTCGGAAGGTTCTTTGACATGGATTTCGGAATTTTACGTTGTCCGAAGCCCAATCTCTATATCATTCACCTGATATGCATCACTCTGCTTCAGCTCTTGCGTTATTGCGTGCATTCGGCAAATCACTTTTGACATAAGAATAAGCAGTATCAATATGCAAAGGAATAAATATAGAAGAAAACATGCATTGTGCATGAGGAATAGCAAGCTTAATAATGTCAGCATGTTGACTGTAATTTAGGAGTGGGGATCAACGAGGGTAATTTTGACTTGAGATGATATAGGATGAGCAGCACTTCTTACAAAAAATGGGATCATAACAATCCAAACCTAGAAGAAATTGTTCAAAGATCTGAGCCGAGTGTCATACTCTAGGTCCAAAAAAAATACAGAAATAATACCTAATGTCGAATGATCTACTTAAGAGGTGAGGATCCACCAAATAATTCGGTAAGATGCTAGGAGAGAACTCGCGAATGCATTTATAGTATCAATCCAAATAACTAACTACTATCTATTAAAATATAATTTGCATGACATTCGATCATATAGCATAAACCGCAAAAAAACACGTAAACTATATACTTGAATGATAATCAATAAGAATTATGTGATGACATGAATGCCTTTTTCAGCCATGAAAGCCAAGATTTATTTTGCTAATTGATGCTCTCCTTCCCATCAGTCAATCACTTTGTCCTTCAAATTAATTTCAGTAGCTGTGCTAAAGTTTTGGTCCTCTGAGTCTGGTTCAATAACTTGAGGAGCTATAATAATGTTTGGTTGATTGGTATGATGTGGTACCACCTCAAGCACCTCAATGTTAATGGTGCTATTCTTAGGTTCAACAATTCCCTCTTCTCCCTCATTCTGGAAAGCATTAGTTGTTTGTGCTCTTCTTATTTATGAGACATTTCTTAGTTATGAGACATAACATTTGCCCAAAAGATGGCCAAACGGTTTGCTACAGTAATGGGTTTTGCTCAATTATTAGTTGTTTTTGGTAGCCATTATGTGTGGAACCTATCCATAGCTCTTCAGCCACAGGCTGAGTGATATCTTTCTCAACCAAGACCCAAGTAGAAGAAGGTCTAGTGAGGTTGAATGTGGGAAGGTTAAGTTTGAGTGGTTTGCCAAACATAGCTTCAATTGAAAACAAGATTTAATTTTTGAAAAGGTGCAACTTTAAGCAGGGTAACTTAAAGCAAATGGGAACAATAGGTGGTTCGAATTGTAAATCAAAATCAAGAGACCAATTGAGAACCTTCATATACTTAATATTAAGTTGTTTTTTTTTTTTTTTTTGGAGAATATTAGATCGTATTCCCTCTCTCTGCAAAGATGAAACATAATGTCTACCATCAAAGAGCCCCACTTTCAACTGTCCAAAATGCTTTAGCCCATCTGAGTGCTTTCTAATTAAATCAATCTTAGGTTGTCTGAATTGGAAAAATCATATTTTCTCCTCTGATGTTTTAATTGACCCATGAGTGGGGTGCGTCGGGGTGCATTATTATTTTAACTGACAAGGCGATCGTTAGTTATCTGTAGGTTTTAACCTAGCGATTCCTTGTCGATAGCATGATAGTAATATACCTGACGATTTATGCTGTCTATTTTTGCTAAAATTACTTGATAAATCATCAGAAGATCGACGATAAACTGTTGGAAACCTGTAGCATTTTAGAAAAATAAATCTCTACTTTATAGTTATGATTTCCACAGTCGCAATCGACATATAAAAATTATAAAAATCACAACATGGCTTAACCAATCGAAACATTTGACAGACTAAAATCGCAATCGAATAGTAAATAACATATAAATAAAAGAAATACATTTAATTACACATGTTCATAACTATTCAATAGGACAATATTTGCTCAAATGTTTAACAAAATAATATACAAATAAAATGAAAAAAGTCTCCGCTAATCCTCTTTAGTCTCCTCATTATCAGTGTCCTCCTTATCTACTGGTTGCTTCCTCCACTGTTTTGGCCACTGCCAAAATGCATCTAGCTTCACTTCAAAATAACCTCCATATTGGCCTCCAGCTCTAACCTCATCTACTAGAAGTGGATCTCCATCTTGGCAGCGAATGTAGCAATACGCTTAGAAACCTCCTCCTCCTGTGCGGTAGAAGTAGATGTTGTGGATGCACTGGTTGAGGAGTAAGTTTCATAGGCAAATTCCCGAGACCTAAGCCCACAGACTCGACCCTTCTTCTTCCCTCTAGCAACCTCTCTACACGAGTCATATTAGGACGGATTTCGATCTCAGATCGTAATACTACCCAACGTTTAGGATTGGCTCCCCTTCCACTGTTGGAATTTCTCCTACAATAAATTGGTTATATGTAGTTAGAGCATGAATAGATATCAAACAAGTTTTCTACGTGAATTACCCAAGTCGCCCGGGATTTGTTATCAATCCATGATTGGTCTGACTGCCTCCTATGGGTGCACTCGTGTACATCAACAACGAAGGGCTCTCGTCTCAACTCTTCAATCTGTCATTGTAATGAAATAATTAGAAAATATGATTGATTTACAGTTAAATTTAAAGTAGAATTAAAATTGTACCAGCCCCCCTTGCATTATGGGAGCACCCCACTAGTGCTTGAAGACTCTCATCAATCTGCGGTGCTAGAGCTGGTTTTGCTTCGCTTGCTCCCTTTTCTTTTTGTATTATGGAGAATCTCAAGTCTCGAGCAGTGCGGAAAAAACATCCTCTCCGAGCCGCAAGAGACACTGCCGAGATTTCTGAATATCACTGAACATGTCCCAGAGGCAGTCGCTGCCTTTGCGCTTGAAGTTACGCTGAATGTGTGTTTCGTGCTTAGGGCGCCGAGAGAATTATTTATGGAAAATTATATGAATTATGTTAGAATGATAACTATGTAAAAATAACTTACGATTAATGTGATCGATATATGCCGCAAACTCCTGGAACTAAAAAACTCAATTTGCTACCATGATCTCCTTCCAAGATAATTATTGTGAGTCGTACTTGTCCTGGATGATATCCCTAATGACCTGAATAACCTGTGTTGGGGGTAGAACCTGAAAATAACAAATAGTTAGTTTTCAATTCAATTAAAAAAATAATAATAAAAGGATTACAATCAATATCTTAAAAAAAACTTATGTTCCCGACAGGCTCAATGCAGTAATTGCTGTCCGTCAACTCCTACATAGTAAAGAGAGTGTGGGCCTCCACCAAAATTATCCCCACTGCAGTCAGGGTCAGGGTAGGGGTAAGGGTGTGGGTGGGGATTGGGGTGGGGGTTGGGGTGGGACTAGGAGTGGTGTAGGGGCGTGGGTTGGGATGGGGATGGGGATGGTGGTGAGGATAGGGATGGGGCTAGGAGTGGTGTAGGGGTGGGGGTTGGGAATGAGTAAATAGAGGATGTAGTTATAATTTCTTCTTCAGAAGCAATGTCGGAGTCATACTCATCACGGAATGTAATTTCTTTGTGTTCATCACTAGCATCCTCTAAATTTAGCTCTTCATGGATATGATCGAGTAGAAAACATAAATCTATTAATTTCGTTTTTTTATGAGTGGGTTCAATATTATTTTAAATATCAGTGGTGGCTCTAAGTTTACTCGTTATGACAACTGCTCAGTCAACATTATCTCTTGCTCTTTGAGAATTTCAATGATAATAAAATTGACTCTCCTGTTTTGCTAGAATGAAAAGATCAAATATAAAACACATTTTGTTCACTTTCACTTTTATGATATTATGTGGTTGGTTTACTCATTTTTCCATTATTAATAATAGGATTGAACCAATCACAGTTAAATAGGAATACAGTTCCTCTAATAGAGTCAGGATAAGAGAGTTCAATAAATTCTTCGGGAATTCTATAGTAATCTATCTCGTCATCCAATTTATTGTTTGTTTTAACACAAACACCAAAATTACAATTTTTTTTCCTTCGAACCAGGATCTTATATGAAATCTGTATCCATTCATGTTGTAAATTCATCAGATTTTCACTCTCAACCCCTGATCTATTACACCATTTTTCCAATAATGAATCTATTAATACATAAGAAATCATGTGGTAATGAAAATTCACCTTTGATCTGCGTAACAAATTTGCCAATTCTAACTCACATGCATCGTAAACCATTGGGGATAATTTTTCTTGATCTCCTTGCTGGCGATATTGTCTTCAAATAAACTTAATGAATCCACAAATAAATTATTTACACATTGAAATATTCTTGAATTAGCTCATCATAACATTTCCACCCGAAAGAGTGAAAAATTATAATAAAAATGTCTTACGCGATAACGAACTTTGTTACAATTGAGAAGAACATAAAGAGTCATTGTTCAAAGTTCCTACTCAATCGCACAAAGTAAAGGAATACCTTGCTTTGGGCTTCATGAGCTTGCCGACAGTAGTTTCTTGGATCTCCAACTCTCGCCCTTTGCATATTTTTTTTCAAATCAAGTATGTCATTCATGTTTCCTTAGTTTTTCTTTTAACTTCCATCATAATGTTGAAGATATTATTAAAAAAATATATATATGTGCATGACATCTAAATTGTGTTTAATCATGTTATCATTCCAGTAAGGCAGATTTCAAAAAAATAACATTTTTTGTCCAATTATGAGTAACACCAAATCTTGGTGGACGATGAGAAGAAAGGTTGGGGCAAACAATAATATTTGGCATGCCATAATTAGTCTGGAATAAATCTTCCCTAGATACTCTTGGAGGTGGTGCTGATTTCTCAATTTTATTTCCTATGAATGAATTCATGTTTCATCTGAAGGGATGTTCAACATTTAGAAATGTACGATGATAGTCAAATCATAAATTCTTTCTACGATGTTGAAGCGTAAATGTCTTAGAGGAACTCATGTAAGGTGGACAAGCTAACTTTCCTACGGTGCTTTACCTAGATAACATTCCATATTTGGAAAATCATTTATTATCCGCATTAATGTTGCTTTTATCAAAAAACTTATGTTTCATTGATACATCACACGTCATGACACTTCTTTCCCAAAAAACTTGCAGCTCATCTATCAAAGACTGCAAATAGGGTTGTCAAAAAATCTTGTTGTTCGCAAACAGTTCGTGTTGGTTCGTCAGTTCGTGTTCGGTTCGTCAATGAGTTCGTGTTCGGTTCGTTTGATAAGTAAACGAGACGAACGTGAACAAATTTTTTTTTCGTTCAGTTAATTAAACGAAACAAACACGAACAGTGATGCGTTCGTTCGTGTTCGAATCGTTATTATTCGAAATATTAAAAAAATTAAAATAATTATATATATATATATATATAATTTATGATATTTTAAAAACTTTAACTTTATAAATTATAATATATAATAAATTAATATATTATATTAGTAATATACTAATATAGATATTATATATTTATATAATATATATAATTAATATATAATATTATTTTTATATATTAATATCAGGGATGTCAAACTGGCTCGTCGTTCGCAAACAGTTCGCGAACAGCTCGTGTTCGGTTCGTTCATTAAGAAACGAACACGAGCAGTGACTTCACGAACAATTTCAAATATGAGCTTATTTCAAACAAACTAAATTTCAAACGAACCGAACACGAACACATGCTCTGTTCGTTCGTGTTCGGTTAGTTTGCACCCCTAACTGCAAATATACAATTATGATTTCTTTGGGGTTACTGGACTTGGTATAATCAGTGTAAAAAAAAAAAGAAATGTGTTGTCATGCACATCTTAGATGACATATTGTATGGTGTAACAATCACTAAACAATAAGAGTAGGATGACGTGGTTTGACTGTAGGTGTGAAGCCATCATAGCATAAGCCAAGCCACACTTTATGTGCCTCTACAACAAACTCTAGATATGGGCGATCAAAATATTTTCACGCCTCACCATCTCCTGGATGATTCATTGAGTAGATTTTCCCTAATTTGTTATGATGTCACATCATAGTATATCCTCTAAAGACGTGAAATAAATGGTATATAAAAAATTTGCTTGAACAGAATTTCTTTCTGCCTCTTACTTTTTGTACTTTGAGGATTGAATATAGGAGAATTGCAAAATCTGCACCGACTCTCCGTTGTGCTTGTCTTTTAATATAGCATATAGCCATTTACACATCAATCAATCTTCTCTGCTTTAATCCTTAACTTGGAGACCAACTTTTTCATCCCGCATAAATCTTGAGGGACTAAATTTTCAGGTGGATTTATCTCTTTCAGAAATTCTACAAATTGATTGAAGCACTCTCGTATCATGTTAAACTCAGTTTTAATTTTTCCGCATTTTGAGAGCTAGAAATAACTCAGAATGAGATGTGCAACCCTCCCACGGTGGCATTTACGGGGCATTCAGTAAATCATAAAACTTCTGAGCTTCAGAGTTTAGTGTATCTTCCTGTTACACTTGACTCAGATAATGTTACCTTGTCTTAGCAAAGATTATTTTTTCAAATCTACTTGAGTCAAATCCAGAGGAGGATCATAGCTTGTCGAAGGAACATAGTTGAATGTTATAGGGTTAACCTCCCCACATGAAGTCCAAATCCAATAATCAGGCTGAAATCTTCGACGATATACATCATATCTCACTTCACATGCGTTAAGTGTGTTCAATTTCTATGTTTTGAAAATGGACACTGAAACCTACTCTCAAATAGATAAATCGACAGTTGAGATGCAACTGCTACAAAAGCCGCGACACTATTCAAAAACTTTGCAGTGATTTCTTTTCTATTTGAAAAATGTCGATCATACATCGACGATCTTACTGTGCGAATATCGATAGATAGCATGTAGCATAACAACAATCAACACATCATGTAGTGCGATCATTATTGATGTTGTGCATTGTCTTATAAATATTTGTGCATATTGATTTTGGCAAGTGATAGTAGTCTAAGAAGTATAAAACTATGTTAAGTATCACTGAGATGAGAATGCGTAGGTGGATGGGTCGCTTTACACTTGGAGACAAATTGCAAACAAATATTAGACATGATTAGACAAGATTAGACAAACATAAATGCCTTAGAGCTCGATCCAAGTGATCTAAAGCATTTTTTTAAAGGATTGTCTAAAACGCTGAAAAAAATAGTGAACTATTATATTAAGTTTAGTATAATGCATTTTCATTGCGATCTAGAATTCTTACATGGCTCCTATGATTCTATTTGTGTGCTAAAGAGCAAATACCTAAGTAATACTAAACATGAATTATTCTCCTCTAATAGTAAAATAAAGACCAAATTTTCAATAGGAGAGGTCTATTGGAGGGTGTAGCATCTCAAAGATCAAAGCTATCAATGCTAAAGGCCACAAATGGGCATGAAAGCAACGAGTCATTTTCTGTATGTATGCAATCTAACATCTGATCGGTGGCCCATAATACTCAACCGACCTACAAATGACGGCCGTTCGGGTTATACATCTGGCTAAACGCCCTTTTAAGCTTCCAGATTTATTTATGTCTATTACCTAAAATACCCCATATTTTCCCTTTTTAACTAGGGGTAAAAATGTAACTTCGTGGTCCCCTTATCTATAAATAGGGGGTTCATTTCGTGAATAAAAGTTACACATTTTCTACTTTTCATTAGTGTGATATCTTCCTTCTACAACAATCTATTTCTTCGGTGTCTCACCGACAATTTTGGATTCAACAGCACCTACATATAGTTTCATTGAGCATAAATCAAACATTCATCAGGTTAATTGCAAAATTTCTTGAGGCTCTTTAAAAGGTTCAACAACCTTCAAATTTTGTATATTTATAAATGAAAACGTTAAAAAATCCAAGATTGTTGAATTCGGAGGGAATTTCTTAAAAAAATTATATTGTTCCCCACTCTATGAAAACTTTACTTTATGGCTCTGTCATTGCTTGATGTGTTAGTTGTAGCTTTTTAATTTCGGTTGGCCCTCTGTTGTTTGGACTAACTTCAAACTCCCATGTAACTCAGATTTCTTTATTATCCATAAAATTAGGCTTACAAATAAAATATTCAACTCAAAGTATATTCTTTCTTGGAAGATTTACATACATATCACTCAATTCTTATGTATTTACATACCTAGCACTTGCAAACCTCAATTTTTACATACTAAACCCTAAACCCTATGGATGAAAAGGAGCATCATGTTCATTAAAAGTTATGAGCCCTCTTGTATAGTCTCAATTAATCTTTGTAAATCCAAATCTATTAAACCCTGCACCTTAAAATGGCGGTTTTAATATCTGATATGAAAGATTTTGAGGGATAAATATGAAGTTTAGGGGTTACAAATGTAAATGCATAGAAATTCAATGGTATACATGTAAATACCTCTTTTAGAATAATTATCTTGTAGACTCCACTAACGAGATGTGCTGGGATGAACGGCGCAGTTCAACCGCACATTATCCATGAGTCTTCCCGGCCAACCAGCGCCCCATTTCCTCATCAGCATTCAGCCATTAACCAGCTCAAATACCAGATCAAAAAAAGCCAGTAAACTCAACTGCAGCCTTCTCCAACTTTCGCCGGAGCACCATGACTCCAACCGACGACACAATTGACAAGCTCGTCATCTTCCTCGCCAAACGCGATGGCATCGACAAGCTGGTTAAAACCTTCCAATACGTCTCCAAGCTTATCCACCATCAATCCGAGCCCCTCCACCCGTTCCTAGCAAGCCGCGCAAAGCTCTTGGAAGTTACTTCCGGTCTCAGCCGCAAAGCCTTCCGATCCGGACGCTTTCTCTCCGGATTCAATGCCCTACGCCGCAATCCGGGCGCCCCACATCTTTCAATCTTTGCAAACGCCGGCGAAATGGTTTACTTCTTTTTCGATCATTTCCTCTGGCTCGCTCGCGCCGGCGTTCTCGATCCGTCCCTCGCCCCTCGCTTTAGCTTCGTCTCGGCTTTCGGCGAATCCGTTGGCTACGTTTTCTTCATACTTCTGGATCTCATCGCCATCCGTAAGGGTTTAGTTGAACATGGGAGATTGATTTCGCAAAAAGCAGGTCGGGACGAGACAGAGAGGAAGGAGAAGGAGAAGGCGATTAGGGTTGATAGAGTGATGAGGCTGATGGGCATTGCGGCCAACATCGCCGACTTGATCATCGCCATGGCTGACATCGAGCCCAATCGGTTCTGCAACCACGCTGTGACGCTCGGGATCAGTGGTCTGGTTTCTGCCTGGTCTGGTTGGTATAGAAATTGGCCGGCTTAAAGTTTTATGCATGTTAACATTTTATAAATGATTAGGGTATTTTGGTGGAATTTCTTAGTTGTTGCTACTAAGTGTCAACACTAGACCTTTCCATTGCAAGGATTTTAGTGATGGCGGCTATGACTGTATTTGTTGGGTGCTTGATGCCATCTAGTAGAGAGTGAACTTTCAATTGCATTTAGCTATGAATGATGGCTTACACAATTAGATAAGTAAAATAAATTAAGCAAAGAAACATGCTTTTTTATATTAAAATTTTGGAAAAGAAAAAATCATGTGTGCTAGCTCGATTGATTGAGAAAATATTATATACTTTGTAAGTATATGCGAACAACGGTGGTGGATGGGAATGACACGTTACCATAAATTCACTTAAATGCGACATGACATTTTCATCCACTGTTTTTTGCACATACTTACAAAGTATGTAGTGTTTTTTTCAATTGAACATCTTATACTGCTAGTTGATTATGTAGAAATTTTCTTTTTTTCAAAATAAAAAAAACAATAGTATGAAGTAGATTATTGCATATTCCGAATGATTAAAAAATATGAAGGTTGGATAGGGCTACTTAGGGTGGTGAATATAATACTTTTAATATGGGTGGTTGTAACACAACCTTTTGATGGCAAATGAACAATGTCGGTCAAGTCATGGGTGCAATCCAAGTTTATCATAAGGATCCTTATGATAGAGATATGTATTATGATCTTTGGGCACTACAAAAAGATAGTGGGGAAAACTATAAGACAATAGAATCTTGGGGCAATGAGCATAATAATGTAAAATTGGGTTGGTAATTTAGTCAAGCACGATTATACTACAAGTTATTTAAGTTTGTGTCGATCATGACTTAGGCATTCATATGATCAAGTTTGGATTGTACTTGGCTTACCTAATGTAAGCATTGAAGTTTTTTTTTTTCCTTGGTGTGAGAATTGATTTCTTTCCTTCTGTGGCGTTGTCTTCCCCATATGGACTTGCGATTTTTTTTCTTTTCGTTCTTCCCGTTCTCCCTTGCCACGTATCTAAACTGTTCGAACGCACCGCCTCACTGCTCTATAAGTGCAGGCTTGGGCATCCCTCATCCGTAGTTCTCCCCCACCTCCTTTTGTAGCCACTAATACCGCTATGATCTCCTCCCCCCTCTCATAACTCCACCAAAAACCGTCGCTTTGTGATCCAACCTTTTGATACAACTCTGATTGGAGCTGGCCGAGAAGGAGACCAAAGGATCATGGCGCACCTACTTCCTCCGCCTTCCATCCACTCCTAACCAAAACCATTGAGGAAGATGACCCTCATCTATCTCTCACTTTCTCCTAGTTGCGCTCCAACTCTGCAAACCCATCTTCCACTCCAACCAAAACCATCTTCCAATGAGATTTACTAAATCCTTATTATGGCTAAACAAGGGAGAAATGAGATTTACGAATTTGTAAAAAATGGAAGAAACAAGATTTATGAATTTATAGGATTCAAAGATGTTTTCTTTATGGTTTATTAGGTAATAAGTATTATGCATATAAATCCCCCATAATTTTATCTAGAAATTATAATTACGTATCTATCAAAAAAAAAGTTATTTATTAGAGTTAATTTTAAGTAGGTTCATAATTTTATTTTTTTAAAATATTATAACAATGATTTAATATATTGATAATAATAATAACAAATATCGATTAAGTTTCACCTAATGTAGTGAATAAAAAGGTTTGATTGCATAATTAATTATATTTTATTTTTCTAAATAATATAGGATTGTGAGGCCAACCATTGAATTTATAAAAATATCACAGTTGGCATCTCAATGTAAGTAATTGTCTTCTATTATAAGATAAGCATACTCTTCATAGTCATGGGCATTATTCATTGTTGCTTGTAGTAAATTCATATCTATTTTATGTGATTGTCAGTCATGTAAATTTTGTACTTATTATAGATATCAATTATTGCTCATGATGAAATCACTAAGTGTCTTACTTTATTATTGTAAAATTCCTGCACAATTGAGTTTTTCCTTTTCCTTGCACTTTACCCGTATAAAATTACATCTATCATATCACAAGTCAGCATTAAATAATAAATTTTCTTACATATTACACTTTTAAAAATTTTGATATGCTTTTGAGTGATGAAGTGTATGTTGGTGGAAATCTTTTGGATATTGGCTAGTCGGGCCAGCAGAATCACAAAGTGACAACTCTATATGAAATCATCTATTTTCTTTGGGTTGGTATTGACCTTCTCGATTTCAGACTGATTGTTAAAACCAAACATATAAATAACAAAAGAAAAACTTAATTGGATTTGATTGCATGTTTTCTTATGATAAGTAAATATATTTGATATTTATCACTCAATTGTTGTCTTATGATGCTATATATGCACATAGTAATCATATATAAATTTGTTGTTCATAGTGAATGCCTCATTTTCTTTATTGTTTATAATTTAATAGATAATTGTTATTTACTGAGTTTATTTATCAAACACACTTTTTGATATTTTCTTATAACAAGTTTTATTCACCCACAAGTTAGACCGTCTCCATCGAAGCAGACTTTTTAGTTTTAGAATTCCTTTCTTGATATTTGTTTTAGTTATTGTGTTTACTCTTTTGGGTCCGAGTAATTATTTCTCGTTATCATTTCAATTTTGGTTCAACTAGTGTTCTACTATCATTTTAGTTGTATCAGTGGATTATTCAATATAAATAAAATTTACATCTCTTCGTTTATCTCTGTTATTATTTAATTACAATCTTCTTTTAAAAATAAAAAATAAATTCAATTCATTTCATCATGCTCTGCGTAGTCGGGGTATATAATCTTCCAGACCCGGGGTGTCACAGAATGTTATTAGAGCTTATGTTTTGTATTTAACATGTTTTGGCTTTGCATTCAATATCCCTTATCTTATTACAATTGGGTAGGGGATAAATTATCCTTCTTAATTAATAAATCAATCAAATCAAAATTTTTCAACTAATCAAAATTTTTCAACTCAGAACAAAGCTTTTAAAATCTAGCATTTTAAAATTTTAAGCCAGTCTAGAAATCAAATCAAATCCACCCTCGAACCAAACTCCAATTTTTTTTTCAACCTAGAAATCAAAATTTTCAAATTTAACCTTTAAATCAATCTTTCAAATTCAACCTTCAATCATCCTTAGAACTAACCTTTAATATACAACCTTTTAAAAATTAAATAATCAAATCAAACTTTCAACACCAAACCCTAAAAAAACCTACAACCCAAATCTCTTCAAAACAAAACCAATCAAACTTTCAGATTTACCTTTTGAAATCAAACCAACATTTTTTATCTCAAACCAAAATTCAAACCATTCCAGTCTAACCTTTAGCTGAATTCAAACTATTCAATCCAAATCAACCCAATCAAACTATTCAAACTAACTACTCAAAAACAAATTGTTCAAATCAAGTTATTCAAATCATATCAATCAAATCTAGCATTTTCAATTAAATCCAACTCTTTCAATAATTTAATGATTTTCCTTAGAATGATTAGATTCATTTTAAGGTAATATTTTTTTCTCTTAGGGTAAGATTTATTCTTCAAATGATTCATTCGATCGTTTAGATATAAATCTTTCAACATCTGTGGTGGACAGTTCAACACATCACATAATAATAAAAAAAAATCCCACCAGTGATAAAAAAAATTATGAAAGTTACATGGAAAATTAACTAAGCTCATGAAAAACTTATCTGCCAAGCAAGTCAAACAGTATTCTATGTTCGAAAGGTGTTAGGTGGCTTCTTTAGAAGAATTGAAGACTTCCACTTGGTCACTCAAGTGCATTTTTAATTTTTTACACTAGTTATATCTCTTTTATATTTTACAACAACTTACTAATAAATGTTACTTTATAGTTTTTTAATATTCCATTATTTAGCTTTTCAAAAAACTCAGATCTCCATACCAACCTATAAATAGATAATCATTGGAAGAGCTCAAGGTAATACAATCTCGTGCAATATGTTATCCAAAACTTATTTGCAATGGAATTTCTTAGAGCTTCTTTATACTCTCCACTCTCTGGTTTTATTTGTTTGATTACCCTCTATGTTAAGTAACATGATGGTGTAATTTACAAATAGACGAATTATTATTCAATAGATTATGTCATGAAAAGGGCGATTTGACATCCCATTAAATGAAGTAAATATATAAACAAGCATAATACTCTGAGAGGAAAGAGGGGCAACTTTTCAATAATATGGAAAGTTTTTAAGATATTAATAAACTGAGAATTGATGATTTCAACTTATTTAAGATGAAAGAAGTGCTATTACTTTTAGGTATAACAATATATGATGAGTTAGCATTATAACCTTGAGATGGTATTCTATGCTTAAACATTAAATCAATAAATTCTAATTAGTTAGAATAAAACAATACATATGATGAATAATAAGTTTGATAATATAATCCATGCTTTAAGTTACACGTTGTCCAAAATTTTAAATGACATTTTGATGATTTTCAACAGTGCTTATAAGTATCAACCATAAATCATAACAACATCAAAAATCTCATTCCCAATGAGGATTTCAAATGATATGAAAATGAACATGTATAATATATTCTATTTCAATTTTTGACAGTTAGAACAGGTTGTAAAATAATGATATACTAAAGAATGCCAAACCAAAATCTTGTACCAAGAATTAACAATCAAGCTATAATAGAAGCAAGTATTATGATTGCCTAAGTGAATGTTAATAGTACGATCAGCCTACACATGTAATGAAAGAATATATGAAAAAAATATATGAAAAAGGCCAAAGGCAGTGAAAAGATACCAAATATTGTCAAGAAGGGCATTAAAATTGCATTGATGTTGAATGTAGCTGATCTAGTTTAGACATGGATGTTGGACTCAAATACATCCTTCCATTCCATTTCTGATAAGAATCTAATAACAAATTATAGCATAGATAATTTTGATCGAGTATTCCTTTCTCATGGCGAACCCTTGAATAATTTAGTATTAAAGATGTGATATGTTAGAGCAAAATATGAAACACTTAAACAAAGTTTAGCAAATAAAGATATACAAGTGCTTGTGCGCTCTTTTTGAGAGAGAGTGTGTAATAACCGATTTTTTTACATGTTCCCTCATACGAG